GGTAACAGGGTAGAGCTGAGAGAGGCTGTGGGAGAATGAGGTGGTGGAAGCTGAGACTGGGCTTGTGAAAAATTCTATGGGGAAAGTCATGTGCAGTGTATGTGCTGTAAGGTTAGGAGATGATTCAGAACCAAAGAAGTTTGTGAGGTCAATGCTGTTTCATATTAGCTGAAACTCTGGCTCACTGAAAGCTGACTTTGCATGCACACTAGTGTCTTTAGCTTTTTCTCTTTACTGTTGCGTGCCTGCTTTGGTGAGCTGCCATATTTGTTTATAATGAGATGTATCTCTTTCCTAAAAACCATCCAGGTCTCTGGTTTCAAGGAAAGATTTAGAGATATGCGCAGACTTCTGTAAATGGGTAGGAGTATCCTAGAATCCCAGTTTTACTGGTTGGTCTTAATCAGACCAATTCCTGGCTCCTAGGAAGCACTCTGTCCACAAAGAAATTGAATAAAAAGTTGAATCTGAGCCTGTCAGAGCAATTGGGATGGTGAATGTTATTTACTTACCTTACAGTAACTCTGTGGCTAAAATTTATTGTTTGATTCCTTATTTAGCTGTTCACCTTTGAATACTTTTGTTTTTATTTAAGTTCCAACTTTTAATATAGGTAGTGGTTTTGCTACCCAGCTACTTCTTGGTTTACAGAAAATTCCTACAATGTAATAATGACTAATGACCACATGTAAAATCTACCTTAATACACTCTAGATGAGCTCCTTTCTTGGTAGACTTCTGTGCTTTGGCACCTTCTGTTTTCTTATTATGCTCTGTTGTAATGACTCTTTTGTGCTAGTGATTACTTTAATTTTTACGGCTTCATGGTGGAGATTCAAGTTATTTGGATAATACCACAGAATAAAACCATCCTATTTTTAAACCTAAGGTTAAACAAGATTGATACTCATTTGTCCTGGGTTATTTTTAATCCCAATGTGCTATTTTTGAGGATTACTTCTTGAACTTTTTTTTCCGGTATTTTTGTCTGGGTTCACAGGGGCTATGTAAGAAATGATTTAACTTATGATGCTTTCTTACTTATTAAGTGCTTAAAAATTTTTGTTGTATTTTTGCATGAATATTTATACTACAATAATAAATAATTCCTCCAAGTTTGAAAAGTTTTTCTGCAAGGTGCTCTGAGCATGCAATATGTAAATTGTGCTGTGAGACTCCTCAGAAATCTGCTGCATTACAGGATTTGAGCCTGTGGAGACCAGTCAAGGAATAGGAGTGATAAGTATTTTTTCATGAGGAAATGAAACATAGAAAGAAGTGGTATGTGTAAAACTTCCCAGAAGATCCAAGATTCTTTGTTATGTATGTTCACCAAGAGTCAGTACAGTTGTGTTACTTAATGAGTATGTTTAAAGAAGTTTTATTTTTAGTGAGAGGTTTCTGTGATGTACAGTATTCTAGAAAGCTATATTATTTGCCTGTATTTTTGAAAATTGTGGAATGGTGTTTGGAGTTGTGGAAAGTTATTAATAGCAAGAGAAAGTATCAAATTTTTAAAGGTCTTTGGAAGAGAAGATGGCAGACTATAAGCTTTGATTGGTAGGGGAAGAAAGTGAATGTGCTTCCCAGTGATGGGGACAGCTGGCTTCTTTTTGAATAAATATTCAAGAAAGCAGGCAATGAAACCCTGTCATTCCTAATCAGGAATGAATTCCCAAAGAAAGGCTAAGTAGAAGAAGAAGCAGCCTAGAATTTTCTGATGGTTTGTAATCTCCAATTTTGTTCAAGATATTTTTTCTTGGGGTGACTCCATATTGTATCCCTGCTTGGAGCTCTTTTGGTGGATATTTAAAATATTTTTCAGGTTCTGTTTCCATAGTTATGTTTGCTCTCTTACTTTAAAGTCTCGCTGCAAATGCAATCTTTGTCTATTAGTGCATAAGGGAAAAGAGAAAATTCATCTTCTATGGCTTGAACAACAAAATCGATAGTTTCAATACTTTATATACTTGACTAGACTCTGAAGTCTTTGCCATTTAAATCTAATGCTGGGAAATTATTAATTATGGACCAGGAGGAATAATGAAAACCTATTAGTAACGATAGTAAGTGGTAGAAAATGTACGCAACACATAAAGAGCTGGTTAAATATGTCAACAGCAAATAGCTATGAAAGAAAGATTGTCTGGATGAAGATTACTTCTTATTTCCTTGAGGATTAGCTTGGAGAAAATTACTTTTATTTTTATTTTTATTTTTTTAAATAACTTTGGCACAAACAATTGTGTTATGCTGATGAAATCAATTGACAAAAAAAATTAGGAGGGACTGTGAAGGCAGCAGACCATTTTATATTATAAAGGAAAGAATGGGACAGGCTTGGAGACAAAAAATAATAGAAAATCAATAAAACAAACCGCACCTGGGAATCAAAGCATCTTTTCTGGAGGCTCACAGATTGAAATAGTTGAAGAAGTAGAGGATCTGTGTGCATTGGTTGGTCGCAGGAAGAGTATGAGCCATCAGTGTGACATGGCTGTGGAAAAATGAAACATATCAAATGAAGTGATCCCAAAGAGTGAGTACTGATACTCATGTTCATTCACTTGAGACCTTTCTTGGTATGTTTTTGAGCAATTCTAATCATTTATGATCAAGAGATGTGGGTCCAAACTGAAATGTCCAGCCAGAATCATCAGAGGAATGGAGAACTCCCTGTACAAGAGGAAATGAAAGCACTTGACTTACTCAATGTCAAAATAGAAAAACTGGAAGAAGCCTATGGTGGCTGTTATATCAGGAAAAATAAAAGCTTTTTTTTTTTTTTTTTTTTTTGGTACTTCACCTAATATTGTCCAAATGACCATGTATAAATGTACATTTTTATTTTAAAAAAGAGTTTCCAATTATAAGAACGTGGAAGTTCTGCAATTGCCTAGTTACTTCAATACAAAGAGAAATTGAAGTGTTTGTCCAAGTTGTATGTAATCCTGTTACTCTCAGTTAGGCCATGACAGAAAGTTATATTTTTGAGACAACAGCAGTGTAATGAATTTCTAGGTCAAATCCCAAGTTCACAGTAGTCAGTAGGTGGTGGGTCAATGCTTTTGAAGCAGCGGTTGCTTATACACTTCCTGTAGGTTAAAGCTGAAGCTTCAGGTCTGTGGCCCAGGACAACTCATTTAACTGATCCTTAGCAGTGCAGTAAGATGGGGAGTAAAATTAATTTATTCAGCCAAACTGAAATAAACCCTTTAAAATATTCAATTAAGTACTTTATCCTGCTATGTATATAATTTCAGTTTCTGATTTCTCAGAAGGTCCTCACTTTGAGTTTTTCGCTCCTTCTATATGAACACTGAGATCTTTGTGGATTCTTTAATCTAGCTGCCTCTGTGGCCTCAGTTAATGTTTTGAAACCATGCATTATTGTGTTTATGATTTCAGCTTTTGTAGTATATGTGGAGAAACTAATGACAGTATGTTTTGATGAAAACAATTTCCTCTTTAGAATATGTCACTTGTGGTCAACTCTCCTGATAATTTTGGCTCATTATACTCCAGGCTTAAATGACTGCTAGGTTTGGGGTCTGTGACAGAGAGGAAACAAAAATGCTCATTCAGACTTGAAAGTGGCGCATTTGCTGCCTTTCACTTTTCATGAATTCACAGATAACCAACTTTCACTAGCTTGTGAAATTCAAAACACCCTCAAAATCCAGTGGGGAATGCAGTGTTTTGTGGATCACGTTAAGTGTGTAGATCACAAGGCCACTGTGCAGACCTTCTATGTAGAAGAATTTTCTTTTATAACAGAACGTGACACTGAATATATATGCAGAAATTCAAAATGAATTTTTAAACCATGAAAGTAATCAGCTGAGTACACAACACATCTTGAGGACTGTTACATGCCTGGCTCTATTTTTATTCTGAAGTTATTTTCTAAAATAAACATGGGTTGAAAAGCAACCCTAAGGTGGCCAAGTAGGATGGAGTGGGACCTTTGGTGACCTCTTCTCTTGGAGAATCCCAGGAGGGCCTTTGGTAAGACCTGCACTCAGCAAGATGAAATTATGTCAATTCAAAGGAATGTTTTTGTCTCCCATTTACAGACACCACTTCTTTTCAGGTAATCTGTTCTAACTAGATTTCTTCTTACTGCTGTCAAAATGTGTTCTTATTTACGCCTATTATTTAAATATTTATGATTTATTTTTTTTCTCTTTATAATTACCATTTTATGAAGACTTATTACTTACCCTGCTTTTCCTTTCACTATCTGGTCTGTTTCATCTCTCACTTAGGAGTGGAGTAGGGTCACTTTTGAATATTTAGGTATGAAACTGTGAACTGCCTAACTTGCAGATGTTAGCTCTGAACTCATGCTCCTTGCTGCCTGGCACCCTTTCCAGCACTGTGTATGTGTGCAGACAGCACTTTGCCAGAACATCAGAAAGCTGAGCTCTGTTATCTCCTCAGAAATAGTCCGTTATCTTCCAGGTGATAAATTTCATTACCTAGTCACCGACAGACATTGCAGTTAACTAGTCACTGACAGACATTGCAGTTCCACAGACATAGTCAACAGCTCTAAAACTGCATGCTGTAGAGGCCTCAGAATGCTGCACAGCAGTATATTTCAAAATCTAAACTGATCTGAATCTGTTACCTTGCCAGACCTCGTAGCTGCCTGGGAGGTAAAACACAAGGATTTCACATCTTTATTTGGGTTGGTTTGAACTTCATAGGATGAGTTTCATTGTTCACAGTATGATAGGTGAACCAATGCTCAAATACACACAGACTTGTCTAGAGAATAACAAAATTCCTCCCGGGTAATTTAGAGTTGTAATGGGGGTAGAGATGATATGTTTCACTTTTTTCAGACAAAACAAAAACAGCAACAAAAAACCTTCCACTGTACACATGCTTTTTGAGGTGCCAGGAATGGACTCTTGGCCAGGCTACCAGGCTGATGGTGTACTGCTAGATTTTAAGGCTGTAATGATTTTGATTCATATTTTTTTTTTCTTCAGAGTGGTTAATGACGAGACTAAAATGCATCTTGCTGAAAGTTCAGGTGACTTTGCAAGATTGTTCAAGAGCACCATGTTCTGCTACCTTCATTCAAAAGTTTTTTGATCTCTTTCATGGGATACAGGTAATGCAGCGTTCTTGTGGTGAGATACATGTGTAAAAGTTTCCGTTGGTGAATTATGATTAGCTGTTGAAATGGTAGTATTGCTATAGTGATCCACTACCAGTTTCTGTTTTCAGGTTACATCTAAGTGTGGTTTTACCATTTATAAAGACATACCTGCCAGACCTCCCCACCTTCCTGAAGAACTCTGTGTTCCCTGCTCTAATAGTATATTAGTAAGTAAATAAATAAATAAAATGCCACACATTTTTTCCAAGAAAATTAGACCTTCCCTTGTTTTACTTTGCCATGAAATCTAATTCATTCTGGATAACAAAAGTCAAGGATGCAAATGTGTGTCTGTCCATGCATTATAATGATTTTCTCCCTGAAAATAGAAATGTTTTATGTTCGGAGGTTATATTACAGGCACTTTTACTAATGAATTCATAATAGCATTCACCTAACATTATGTTGTTCTAAATGATGATTAATTTTTTTAAATAGTGGAACTGATGGAAGTGGCTTTTGTTGAGGCTGCCTAAATATTTCTGTTCGGCAGTGCAGACTTAACACGTGCTGAACTGGGAAACTTCCGCCTCCTAAGCATATTTGATTTTATTCTTGTATTATCAAAAGTAAGCTTGAAAAGTCTGAGTAAAACAAAATTAAAAAGAAAATTACACAAATAGGTATTTAGCTATAATTTCAATGTACAGTTACATTTTTATGTTGTCAGAATATGCTTATCAGCAAAGATTTTCCCCTCAAGCATCTTTTAATAGTAAGAAAGAGAATATGAATAGTTTTCATATATACTGCTGCTTTTTATTCCTATGAATAGGAACTACTGATGTTATATACTATCTGTCTAGTAATATGTTGTCTGTTACATATGCCATGACCGTAGTGTGAAATATATATATATATATAAAAAGAATGGCTGGATTTTTTTATTTATTTATTTTCTTTTTTTTAACGGCAGTTTACAAGGCAGATATTGATTTTAGTTCTCATCACAAATGATATAACATCTGTACTTGCCACAATAGAACTACTACAGTTTAGGAGTTGAGAAGAAATTGTTCAAAGATGTCAGATGTATTATTTCCTCCTAGATGCATCCTCATTTTTTCTGGATAATGCACAAATGGTACAGAAAGGCTGACTCTGCCCATTCAATAACCATTTTCATCCACTCCATGACCAGTTGAATGTTAAAGAAAAGAGAATGAATTATTAGGCAGAATTTTAAAGCTCCATGGGGATTGTTTATCATAAGACCCCAATACTGCCAAATTAGTGCTACGTGCATGAGAAGTGAGATAAATGCCAACAGTAGGCAGATACTTCTACTTAACATAAAACACCTGGAGGGAAAGTTGGGTTTAAAGTCCATTTAAAACCAAAGAGGGTCTTGTTATCAGTGTACCTTTCATACTTGTTAAGACACAAATTTGTCTTATGGTTTTTAGCAGTATGCATGTAATTGACTGTTAATGGTTAATCATTTTGAATTACAATAAATTTGCTTTGCTAAGACTAGATCTCTAGCTGGTCTGAATTGTCACAGCACTACTGCTCTTACATTCTTTCCACTTTTCTGAAACATTGAGTATTTCTCTACTCCTATCTTCTTCGATCTTCTTCTATCTTACTTTATTTCATTTTGGTGGTCTCATGTTAAGGAGAAATATCTGTTTTGTGATAAGAATGTTTTTTTGGGGGTAAATATATGGTATAGCAAGTTGTAATGTCACTCTGAATGGAACATTTCTGGCCTGTATTTGCTCTTTATCTTGTTATAATGATATCAGAGGCCCAATGTAAATATCCTTCTGTTCCGTCCAATGACCCATACTTTCATTTAGTGTAATTAGAAAAACTTCTGTAAAACAGCCTGTCAGGGAGAAATAATAGGGCTGTTAGACATTTGGCAAAACTCCATTGCGTACTGCTGAGATACAATATTCCAGTTTTGCAGGACATTTGTCAAGCCGGCTGGTTGCTGAAATGCGCTGGAAAGATCCTCCTGTCACCAGATAGCACCTGGCGGAGGGCTGGGAACAGTCAACTCTTCCCACTTTGAGCAAATCTGGGACCAAAATCCCTTCAGGATTCACGGAGCTCGGAGGACCATGTCAGGAACCAGTCGTGTTTATTTTCATATGGTCCTGTTTCTTTTTTCCCCACTGAGAAATTATATTTTCATGGAACTGACTGAAAATCAAATAGATTCTGTGGAGAAATAACTTGAAAAGACATTTCTTTCTTTCTTTCTTTCTTTCTTTCTTTCTTTCTTTCTTTCTTTCTTTCTTTCTTTCTTTCTTTCTTTCTTTCTTTCTTTCTTTCTTTCTTTTGTATATTTCTCATATATTTTGTATATATATATTTTTTGGTATATTTCTCTGAGGAAGTTTTTAAGTTTTTACTTCTTGCAGTACTTGAAGAAACATCAAAGTAGGCTTTAAAAATGGTTGTTGAAAGAAGGTATAGACTTCTTGCACCTGTGTTGTGGTGCCTTTTGTGGCAGTCAGAACATGCATAGTGCTGGTGCCATGTGGCCATGTGTGTCACACATGAAGACCCGCGTGCTGAGGAATCCAACATTGCCTTCTGGTGTGTGTCCTTGAACCCAGTTCCACTAGGAATTGTAACTAGAAAATGGGAGGGAAAGGAAATCTAGTTAAAAAGTTGATCAGAAGAAAGGCAACTGAAAGGAAAAAATAGTTTTAAGCAAAATCCATTCATTTATTTATGCACAATTGACAAATTAATGGAAAAAAATTGAGTGATTTTTTTTTATAAGATATTTACAAAAGTGTTTTCAAACTCTTATTTCAATGAAAAAAGCTTTCCTAAGTAGGACAAGTCTTGACATTTTGGGAGAAAAAATTAAAAAATAAAACCTCTTTTATTTGTAGCATGTAGAACAGTAAGAGTTCTACTGCTTAAAAAAAAAAAAATAGCTCAGTGGTATCCACCATATTTTGGTATGCACTCTCCTTTATTATTCTATTAAGCTCCTTTAAAGTACATTCCAGAATAGATTCACAGCTGAGGTGTGAGCCCCCTGTGCTCAGAACAGTGTGCAGGCAGCCAAGCAGTCCCAGAGCACTTGGAGCCCTTGGTGCAGTGGAGAACTGAGGGCAGCACCAGCCACAGGCTGCCAGCTGCCTTCTGGACTAACCATGTGCCAGGTTGTCACCTAGAGTAAGTCAACATCACTATGCCTGATCATCAAGTTAATATTTCCCATTACATGTAGAAGATTAGATCTATGTAATTTCTTTTAATTATTCCAAAATTTCCAGCCAGTCTTAAAACTCAGCTAATTTCTTTATCCAGTCTGCCCTCCATGCTGCAAACACTGCAGTGAGAGCTCTCAACACCTCACAGCTCTAAACTTGGCCTTGTCTACTTGCTTAAAGGAGTCCAAATTGGGTTCCAGAGTGTAAACTATGCTCAGTGCAGTTACTTTGAATATAAACACCAATTTTCAGAGTTTGATCAAAGATCTGTTGCTGTTATGTAGGATATTATCTAGCAATCTGTAGAGTGTAATGCTCTGTAAATGTAATCTGTTGTCTAACTTTTGATCTTTTGTAAATTTTCAGTCTCTAGAAGTAAACCAGAGGTTTCTAGAGCTGTTGCCTAGCAGAAAAACTAGGCATATTTATGTCCTGCCTTCTTAAATGTCTCGAGTCTCCCTGATTTCTGGTTATCATCCTAATACCCCTTGTCATAACATTTTAAATTTCTACTTCACTGCACGGCAAAAGGAGAAGCAGCTCTTCAGGCCTGTACTGGTATTTCTATTTTATTATTTTTCTCTTCATATGTTGCTCTCATATTTTTGTAATCTTGTAAGTTTTGCTTCTCGAATGAAAACTTTCTTACCCTTTCTTGCCCCCCCCCTTTTTTTTTTTCTTTTTTTCTCACTTGTCCTCATAGTTGGAGTCTGGCTCGTTCATTACTGGTTTGAATCTTTGTCCATAGACTGACACTGCAGCAGGAGCAGTGATGGACAACCCTAGCTTCTGCCCCTAAGGCATGCCTGCATGGGCCTGTTTGGGGCTCAGAGCACGGGTCACATTTTCTCCCCAAGGATGAGACAGATCCTGCAGTGTGGAGCTTCCTCCTCTTTGGCAAACATTACACACAAGAATGTAACCCAGCAATGTCAGGCCCCAGAGACTTTGAAAACAGAGGGCTTAAGAGTTGAAGAAAAACATTGGGAAGTGTCAAAGTAGCAGCTACTTCTTCCTTCATCCATTCTGCTTAGTTTTGCAGGTTCTGACTGTCTTTGTTGTTGTTTTTGTTGTTTGTTTGTTTTTTATTCCCCCCTCCTCTTTCTGTCAGTATATACAGATAATGTCTTCCTTGGTGGTTGTGGTGTCAGTTTGGAGGGTTTTGGTTTGCTTTTGATTTGGTTTTAACTCTTGGGGGCTAAGTCACTCAACATTGAGGTGATAGGGGAAAGGGGAACTGCAAAACATTTTTTTTTTTCTTTCCCCACCAGATCATTCACTTTAGAGATATTAAGGTAAGAAAGTCAGAAGCTTTTCAGGAATGTTAGTAGTAAATCAGAGCCCTACATTTGCATTTCAGGGATTCAAGCAATGATAAGAGTTTCATTTACATTCTCATCCAAAATCTAGTAGAATTGAATGTTTCCCTTGCAGCTAATCAAGATGGGCATCTTTTGCAAATGTGATCTGGCTGGCATGTTCCTAAAGCATTACAGTTCTGATTTTAATCTCTTTCACTTTGGTGATGTGAAAAAGTGAAGGTTTTAAGTCCATCAATTTTTGAGCTGCTCTGCATTTCTGCATTCTGATTTTATTTTATATGTCCCATGGGGTTGCTAGCTGTTGTTGCTTCCGTTTCCCTTCAGTGATGACAAATCTTTATCTTGTTTTTCTTTACATGTCTTACTTCTAATTTTGTTACTATTTAATGGAACAAAATCTGACTTACTCCATTTCCTGATTTTTTTTTTTCCTGTGGTTTCTTTTCTG